AGCCAGTTCGAGGCCAAGGAACCGAAGTGACACGTATTCGACTCCAGAAGCTTTTTAGCGGACTCTGAACCTCCTGGGATCATGCCACGTATCGGCAAGCTTTATCCTCTCCCCGCCCGGATCAGGCGGTAACATAGACTTCATTGACTAATACGTTACTCCCCATCTAAAGTGGAAACGGACCTCATCTACTCAAGCTGAGGATTCCGGAATCGTTTCGTGAGACCATAGCAGCTCAACTATATAAGGGCATCAACCCCTCTAGGGCCCAGGGACGCCCAATTATTTGCACACAAGCTCTTTAGAATTCACTCTTTTAGCTCGTAACCACAGCAAAGGTACTAACTTAAGCATCAGAGCGACCTCACCGGGTCATCCACCCCGGTCTCTCTGATCTCTGTTTTGCAGTTTGATCCAACTCGCCACGTGAACAATGTCCAGGCATTCTTCCAGCTAGGAGCTTTCAGATCACACATCATCAGTTACAAAATATATAAGAAGCTTATTCATGTCTATGGTTCAAAATATATAATAACCATATAACCCTTATACGGTTATAAAGGTTCATTTGGATTGTAGTTAGACTTAGAATTAGAATCAGAATCAAAATCCTTCATAATCGAAATCAGAATGCTCTATTCCTGGTTATAAAGGTTCATTTAAATTGTAGTTAGACTTAGAATCAAAATCAGAATCAAAATCCTTCAGAATCGAAATTAAAATGCTCTATTCCCATAGTCTGTATGGTTCATACAGAAATCAGAATGAGACTTAAAATCAGCTGAAATGGGATTTCATTCCCAAGGGAGGGGGACAGAATAACCATTCCCTCAAGTGGGAGAATGCCATTCCACTAGGAATGGGAATGGGATTCCAATTCCACCCAACCAAACAGTTGGAATGGGCCATTCTGATTTCGATTCCAAACCCCTGTAAACCAAACAAGACCTAAATATCTCAATGTACCATTGCGTGCTATATCATATGTAGAAGTTGTGTATCAAGAGTTTTTAACAATCAATACTCTTATATCTCTATTTATTATTTCTTTTTAGCTTGATGAATTCACAAATACATATGTGAGGATTGATATTAATATTTAAACCCATTAAACAGCGGTCCTAACTCTCATTTACAAATTTCTATTTCTACTCTTAAGTTTCAACTTTCGAACATGAAGCGTGGGGAGATACTAGAAGACATGGTTGGTAAAATTTTGTAATTTGTTAGTAGAATTTTAGGATCAAATATGTCATCTTCAACCTTTGCACCTTTGTTCTTGGAGCATATTAGTAGTTTTATATATTCTTTGGTAGAAAACATCTCTTGCAGGTGTATCTTGCTAAGTTGCAGTCTATTGCAATCATTCCCACAAAAGAAAATAAATGATACATAAATTAAATAATGAACTTTTGATTTTCCTTTGACTAGTATAAAATTAATTTAATATCCTTATTAAAATTAACTTAGCATCTACATTAATACAATATTCAATTTCTAAATGTTAGGAATACTTAAAACAAAGAGATTATTTGAGAGAAAAAAATATAGAAAATGTGAAAAAGCATTAATGACGAAATAATTAATTATAAACCATTTATAAAGAAGATTAAATATAAATATAAATATTAATAAATGGTTGTTTCAAGTCCTTCTATTTCAATGCAAATGGGACAGAAAAGAAAAACCATCCTTCCTCTTTCATAGTCAAAATTTCCCAGATCTTTTTCTGATTATTTTATTAGAATATCCAATTGTTTAGTCATCTAAAATTGCAAATACATTGTTTAAAATAAGCCAACCAGCAGTTGAATCAATGCACCAATTATAAAATAGTCATATTTCTTCAGTCACATTCAACACATGTTAATACTATCAATAGGTAATGCAAATTCTTAAATTTCATATTTATTTAAGGATATAATTGAAATTATAGGAACCCATTAGGTAGCATTTGTACTTCCAATAATATGCTCAATATTGCACAATTTTATTGATCAAAGCATTCAATTCTAGACAAATGCAAAAATAGAGTTGAGTCAGAAATTTAGGTTGTGCTTGGTATCATTGCTGTTCTTATATGAAATGTTTTGGGTTGAAAGTGGTGGATTTATGTAGAACTAGAAGTCAGTGTGGACAATTGCCCCCAATGACATTTGAAAAAAATTCATGTAGTTATGAAAATTATGAGCAACTTTAAAATTTTTCACAATTGCCCCCACTCAAACAAAATAGTAGGGGGTTAAATAAAATTTGGCTTCTTAAATGATATATTTTTTAGAGATGAATATGTAAGAAATAAAGAAAAAAAAAGTATAAGAATGACAACTATGTCCCTATTCTATATCACAAAGTTATGAGATTTAGGATTTAGGGTTTTAACTTTTACTTGACAAATTTTCCCGTCCCTATTGGATACCCTGCTCTTGGATCCACCACCATTGTGGGTTGATCAATAAAATTGTCGTTTCTACTTGAAACATGAATATCACTTAAGGTCAATACTACCAAACACAACCTTAATCACCTAGAGCTTTGGGCATATATATAAATATATATATATATATATATATATATATAGATTTATTGCATAATGCATATTAAGATCCTTATGGACTTCTAGGGCCATACTACCCCTCAACTTGTTTGGTGCTTTATCAGTTATTTGATTTTTTTTTTTTTACAAAGAAAAAAGGGTAGTTTCGCCAATTTGGAATTGGATAGGTATAGGTTCTCGCTCACTTATCCAAAAAGATGATAACCGACAAGTTATTAACGTCTTGAACTGGGACCCGTTTATGGCTTTATTCAGAGTTCGTTGGGGTTTTAGGTGAGTGACGGTCTATTGGTTGACAATCTTATCTGTCTCGAGGGAGGTGGAGCCGTAGACGTTCAATCGGGATTGAGCCTCAAAGAATGGATCTTACACCAATCTCATAAGTCATAGCACATCGACGAGAGATGTTCCCAATGTGCGGTAGGGATATGATATGAGGAACATTGTTAAGAGCAAATCATGCAATCAGCTAAAGATCTGGACTCGTGAAGATTAGGCAAGCGCTCCTCCAGGCTTCATCCCAAGAATACCCACATAGAGATCTCGCCCAGCATGACCCGACCCGTTTGATGAACTGTTAGGATCGAAATATCGAATCAAAAATTTTGATTTTAATTCTTTTGGTTTGGTTTTTTCGGTTTTTGAGAATTTCAATTTTCGGTTTTGACTTTAAAAGTTAAAAATTCAATTAATCGAAAAAATTAAATTAACCGAAATTTATTATATAATATATAATATATAACATATAACATATAATATATACTATGCTATATATTTATATATTAATATATCATATATAATGTATTATAATGAAATTCAATTTCATGATATATATTATAATATAATATATATTATAAATTATAATATATAATATTTTATATATGTTAATTAAAATTGTTTTTGATGGAAATAACCAAAAATTTTGGTTTCAATTATTTCGATTTTCTTATAATTTGATTTCAGTTTTTAAAATTTCTATTTATTCAATTAAAAACCGAATTTAATTAGAAGCGTATATGCTTTGTGATGAATCAATTTTTGGGTGATGGCCAATTTTTTTGTCCTAAGTACCTCGTCATTTGGTTTGCTTCCAAGTGGCCGATGACTCAGGCCGAAATGAACTTTGACTGCCGAGCTGAATCGAGCTGGGCAGGCTAGGTGGCGAGCTGACTATAGTGTCGAGCTACCTATGAGGTGCCGAGCTGAACAGGTGGCGAGCTGCCTGTGAGGTGCCGAGCTGCCTGTGAGGTGCTGGGCTGACCAGGTGCCGAGTTGCTTGTGAGGTGCCGAGCTGCCTGTGAGGTGCCGGGTTGACCAGGTGCCGAGCCGCCTGTGAGGTGCCGAGCTGACCAGGTGTCGAGCTGCCTATGAGGTGTCGGGCTGAGCAGGTACCGAGCTGAATTGATGAGCTTCGTTGCTCTTTAGTGACCTGCAAGGAACCAAACGTCAGAGGACCCGGGGTGGAAAACCCGGCGAGGTTACTCCGATGCTTAAGTCAGTACTCTCATAGTAGACTGCGAGCTAAAATTCACAAAGTATGAGAGCTAGAATTTGCTTACTTGCTTGCTTGCTTGCCATTGGGGTTGGTGCCTTCATATAGGCAATGTTTGGCGTGGGCTTCACGCACCATATCCTAGATTTCTGCAAGGTTGTCTAAGTGGGTCGAGATTCTTGGAGGTAACCGCCATGCACGTTGACCACCCTCCGGATCGTTCGGCACGTGGGCCAACTTCCAAAGATCGTGGGAGTGTTAGGATATGCATGCCGAATTTTTCGGTGAGCAAGTCTCGCAAGTCGCGAGGTCGGCACCTAGGTCGCTCCTATGCCAGGCCGCCAGGTTGCGCCTGGGCCAGGCTGCCAGCTCATGCCTATGCCAGGTTGCCAGGTCGCGCTAGGGCCTGGCCACCAGGTCGCGCCAGTGCCAGGTTGCTAGCTCGTTCTTGTGCCAGGCTGCCAGCTCGTGCTAGGGCCAAGCTGCGCCTGTGGTGGGACACCATCAACTTGGCTAAGGCAAGTTGTTGCCAAAGTGGTTCCAGGTGTCACCTAGTTGTTCTGAGGTGCCATGCATCACAATATAATTGGAGGGCCAAATCCGCCCTCATCATTTGCCCCCCACTCCCGAGCCAAAAGTAACTCGGTGAAGGGAGTGGATTTCTCCTTTTGGCCCGGTATGAATAATTCGATGAGCTCATAAGCATTGATTCAATTCCTTAGGCTCTGGGAGCGACTCGCAGTCTGCTCCTTGATTTTTCCCATGCCGAAGAGGCGACTGGGTCTTATGTGGTATTTTAGCCCTTAGGCTCTAGGAGCGACTCGTAGTCCACTCTCCTTGATCTTTGATTTTGCCCATGCCGAAGAGGCGACTGGGACTTGTCTGCCCATGCCGAGAAGGCGATTGGGACTTATCGTAATGCCGAGGTCTTTTTAATTGAAACTCTTGTTCATGTCAATAAAATTGAAGAAATTTGAATTTGGATTGGATTTGCTGGTGCTTTTGCGGTGGATAGGGAAGGGAGGGGTGGTGGTATTGCTTTCTCCTGAGGATAAGCAGGGCAGATTGGATCATCCTAACTGGCTTCTGGCTGGGTTTTGTGAGATTATTTCAAATTATCACCTTCACGAGATTTCTATTATTGGCTCTTGCTTCAAATGGGAGATAGGTAGAGGGGCTGAGGCATGGGTCCAGGAAAGAATTGATAGGGCTTTTGCTTCAGGAGAGTGGTTGGGGTTATTTTCGGACGCAAAGCTTCGGAATTTGGTTGCTACTATTTCGAACCATAATCCAATCCTATTAGAAATAGTGAGTGTTTCTCGTGTTCATCGTCAGCTGCGCTTTCGCTTTGAAAATGGGTGCTTATGGGAGCCAGGTTTGAATAAAACGGTGGAGGATGCGTGGAGTTTGTCGAGGATGAGCGATGTTTCTTCTCGTTTGGATCAGTGTGGCAAAGCTCTTGCTAAATGGGGTTTGGGTCTGAATTAGAAATTCACCAGGGATATTGCTCAATGTAAAGCAGTTATTGAGAAGCTCAGGGACAGCAATATTCCTTCAGATATTGAGACTATTAAAGAAAAGAAAATTGAACTTTTAAAGCTTTTAGGGCAGGAGGAAGATTATTGGYGTTAGCGTAGAAAGAGTTTTTGCTTCGCGATGGTGATGCCAATACTAAATATTTTCACGCGGCAGCATCCATGAGGAAAAGGACCAATAGAATTTCGAGATTGATGGATGATGAGGGTAATTGGCATGATGATCCGAGTAGTCTTTGTCAAGTGGTCTAGGATTATTTTCGTAAGTTGTTTTCCTTGTCTTCTAGTCATGCTATTGATGGTTTCGATTTTGTTGATTGTAAAGTTTCAGACTCAGACAATGAGAAGTTGCTATCTCCATTTTCTTTTGAGGAGTTTAAGGAAGCTGTTTTCCAAATGCATCTGGACAAGTCCCCAGGTCCGGATGGCCTAAATCCAACTTTCTATCAGAAATTCTGGCCCTTGATTGGTAAAGATATTTTTCAAGCTGTTGTGTCTTGGCTTTCCAGAGAAGAGTTTCCAGCTTCACTAAATGACACTACTATAGTGCTTATTCCGAAGTGTGAGTCCCCGAAAACTATGAAAGATTTGAGACCAATTTCTCTTTGTAATGTGTTGTACAAGATCGTCTCAAAAGTGCTTGCTAATCATCTTAAAGTTCTTCTTCCTAACATTATTTCGAATGCTCAATTTGCTTTCGTGCTTGGGAGAGCTATCACTGATAATGTCTTGGTAGCTTTCGAGCTTATTCATTTTATGAGGAGGAAGCGGAAGGGTAAGGTGGACGAGGTTGCTCTCAAAATAGACATTAGCAAGGCTTATGATCGGGTGGACTAGCAATTTCTCAAGCTTAAAGTGCAGAAATTGGGTTTTTCTGACAAATGGATTAGGTTGATCATGCTTTGTGTCACTACAGTTTCCTATTCTGTGGCTTTCAATGGCATGGAGGTTGGGCCTATTATTCCTGGAAGAGGTCTTCGCCAAGGTGACCCGCTTTCCCCTTATTTTTTTATTTTATGTGCTGAAGGCTTATTTGCTTTGATGTATAAAGCTGAAAGAGAAGGTCTGATTTCTGGTTGTCGTATTTGTTGGGGTGTGCCTAGTGTTTCTCACCTTTTGTTTGCAGATGATAGTTTTTTCTTCTTCAAGGCAGAGGAAAGGGAATGTAATGCCATGAAGAATATCCTAAAAGTCTATGAAGAAGCATCGGGGCAAGCAATCAATTTTTAGAAGGTGGGTGTGTTTTTCAGCTCAAATGTGCCTCAGGATGTGAAGGCTAGAGTGACTAGCATATTGGGGGTTGTTAATCCTATTAAGACAGGGAGGTACTTAGGCTTGCCTTCTCTAATAGGTAGGAAGAAGAATAAAGTCTTTAGATTTATCAGGGATCGTCTATGGCAGAGATTGCAGGGTTGGAAGAGTAAGCTTTTGTCTCGTACGAGTAAGGAGATTTTAATTAAATCTGTGGCTCAAGTTGTCCCCTCCTACTGCATGAGTACCTTTATGATTCCTGTCTCTCTTAACAAAGAGTTGGAGAGAATGATGAACTCATTTTGGTGGGGTAATTCCAACTCTAATGGCAGGGGCATTAAATGGCTTAAATGGGAGAAGCTTTTTATAAGGAAGGAAGAGGGTGGTATGGGGTTTAGAGATATGCAAGCTTTCAACTTAGCAATGCTTGCAAAGCAAGGTTGGAATATCCTTTCCAACCCGTATGTTCTTGTCTATTGTGTTTTCAAGGCTAAATACTTCCCCAGGGGGATTTTCTAGCTGTCCAATGTGGGCATAATCCAAGTTATACTTGGAAAAGCATTTGGCATTCTGGCATTGTGGGATGATCTGTGGCTTAAGGAGATGGGCAATTTTAAGGTTGATTCGCCTAGAGTTAAGGGGCTTGAAGATATTGTGGTTTTGGACCTATGGATTCTAGGCCACAAGGAATGGGATGTCGAAATGATTCATGAGCTTTTTGGCCCAAGGGATGCTAGTGCAATTTTGAATATTCCCTTGTCTTATGCTAGTCAAAAGGACCGAGTAATTTGGTATTTCTCACCAAATGGAGTATATTCAGTAAAGTCAGGATATAGGGTTGCAAGGGATCTTAATACCACTAACTCTCAAGCTGTTATTTCATGTGGATGGGATAAGTTGTGGAAGCTTCCTATTCCACCTAAGGTGAAGAGCTTTGTTTGACGGGTTTGTAGGGAGTGTTTGCCCTGTAAAGACCAGCTTGCTAGGCGTGGCATCTAGTTAGATACTTCCTATCATCTCTGTAATACTAACGTTGAAWGTCTGAGCCATGTCTTGTTATCATGTCCATATGCTCAAGCTTGTTGGTCTAAGGCTGGCATCAGCATAAATGTGTCGAATCACACCTCTTTTGCTAATTGTCTTCTTGAGTTTTTAGCAGAAACTGATTGGGACAAGTCTGGACGTGCTTGCATGGTTTTGTGGAGCATTTGGTCTCAACGTAACTCCAAGCTATGGAGAAATAATTTTAAGTTGCCCGATCATGATGTTACTGGGAGTTTGCAGCTTCTCCATGATTGGAAGCAAGCTCAAATACAGAAGCGGTTGGGCATGGTTATTAATCTTAACCACCAAGGTGACGGTAATTGGCGTGCTCCCCCTCCTGGTTCCTTCAAGTGTAATGTTGATGCTACCTCTTTCACGAGTAGTAACCTCACTGGGTTTGGGATAGTTATACGTGATGAGCTTGGTGCTTTTGTGAAAGGTTACACGTCCACAGTTCCCGGTCTATTCGTTTTGAAAGAAGGGGAAGTAATGGCCCTTATAGCAGCAATTAAATGGGGGACCGACATGGATATCCAGAATGTGGTATTTGAAACTGATGCCCTAGTAGTTTGGAAAGCCCTTCGTGCTCCAGCTTCGGACCTGTCAGAATTTGGCTCCCTCGTTCATGAGTGTTCCTCGTTGTTATAGCAAGGTGTAAACTTCTCGGTGACTTGTGTCAAAAGGCAAGCTAACACCATGGCCCACAACTTAGCTAGGGCTTCTTGTCGTTTCATTAATCCTTGTATCTGGCATGAACCTCCAGCATTTGTGGAGGACTTGCTTGTTTGTGATATTTTTGGTTGATTAATGCATTGCAGTTTATTCTAAAAAAAATAAATAAATAATATGTAAGACCGTAAGAATGTGACTGTAACGTTACATAGACAAGTACATGTAGAGTTGTGCATAGAAAAACCAAACTCAATTTTTATTTATCTATTATTATATAAAACAGATATTTGCATTGATTGATGCTTAAATCTAATATTTATTAACATCATATTGCATAAGATTTTTAACTTTTTAATTTTTACTCTTCCATCTTTACTTCACAAATGCACATATGTGCTTGCACTGGTTTTATTAAATATGAAATTGCATTTTTATAATTTTAATTATATTATATATTTTATAGGTTTAAAATGGGGTGGGCTACACATGGATTGGCCCAGCCCGACATGGACTCATGGGCCATGGGCTTGGTTGCCTCCCTGATTTATCGGACTGTACCAGCATTGCTAGGGGTGATCATTCAGCCTGGCCTGACCTAGCCTGCACAAGCCCAACCTAGAAATTTAGGACTTGGGCCTGGGTTTTGTGTTCAGGCCCGGCCCGGGCCCAACCTGGCCCACATATATTTAAACTTACACATTTTGTGTATAATGTATACAGGGGAGGAGTCAGGGGGACCCAGGGGAGCAAAGGCCTCCCCATGGTTCAGAAACTCCCCACTGAAAAATAACTTTCCATGTAAATTTTCTCCTCTGTCCACTCTCCATCTCAATAGTTGGCCCCCCTATGGGTCCATCCATACTTTATTTATGTTTTGGCCCCCCTTATAACAATTTCCTAGCTCTGCCCCTGAATGTATACATGTTATTTTACATTATATTATATATTTTATATATAAATATATAACATGACATGTATATTATATGTAATATTTTATATTATATAATGTATAAAATAAGTTTATATGCATTTATATCATTTAATATATAGATATGTAATGTTTTATATATCAGTGACATTGGCCCGGAATTAGGCCTGGCCCGACCTGGGCCCGTATAGACTTGGGCTAGGGCTTATATTTCAGGCTCAGAATCCTGGACCGGGCCGGGTTGGGCCCGAGCCTAAGCTATAGCCCTTATCATAAGTGCAAAGCCTGGCCCGGGCCCGGCCCGGCCCATGATCACCCCTAGGCATTGCCCGATACAATACAGACAGCACGAAAACCGTACCATGCAGGCCCGATGCAGCCCATATTACACCTATTGTGTGTGTAACATTTTTATTTATCACCTAAAAATAGAAGCTTATCCAAACATAGCTTTAATAAGGGTTGCAATCTTTGATGGTTCCACAAAGAAAAGGATGGGAGAATGACTATTCAGCCCAGTTCAGAATTCTTTAGCTTCACTGTATAGGGGATGAATCCTGACCGTGGATTGATGTAAAATTCACGGACAGGATGCGGTTTATAAGGGGCTGCTAGTAAATTATGGGGGATTGTAATTCAGAATTCTGCAGCGAGCTGTAGAGTACTTTTCCCAAAAAAGACTTGTAAGAAAAAAGACATAAAACACAAAAATCTACATCTTTTCACCACCACATGTACACAATAATGGATATAAACAATTACAATAATTCATTGATGAAACCAAGGAGATAGATGATAACGAGACTAAAAGTCCAAAACTCAAAAGACATGTCAAAGAATAAATCTTCTAGAAGAAAGGAATCTTTTTTTAGACAAAATCTATGGCAGGTGCAACAAAAGATGAAATTGGTTGAACCTTATGATAAATACAAATTGTTTAAATGTGAAATTACATTTTGTGAAACATAAACCAATGATAAGGACAGTAAAAGTCTAAAACGCTACAAATATGTTTAAGAATAATTCTCCTTCCAAGAAAATGAATCTTTTTTGGTAGGCTAAATCTATGGTAATGTGCAACAAAGGACGTGATTGGTAAATTTGGAAATGTAAGGCCATATTTTTTTTTCAGAAACACATTTACCTGGGTGAATGCACTTACCCAGGTAACTCAGGAAACACTAATCTAGCTAAGTGCATTTACCCATGTTCTTTTTTTGTTTGATTATCCAAGTAAATAAAATCCCTTATTTTTCTATGTTCTTTTATAACACCCATTTTCCTGGGTAAATTGCTATTTTTTCATCTCTTTCCAATTTTACCCCTTGGCCCAAATTCATGTTTTTTGGACATTTTGTCTCATTAACACATAACTTGTCCAAATAATAGGTTGAATAACATGTTCAACTATAATCTGTCCAAGTAATAAGTTCAATAACTTATTTAACTATAACGTATCCAAACAATAACTTGTTCAATAACCTAAAACAAGAAATATCAATAAACTGAAGAATGTTTTTCTTTATTATGCTGAATCAATCGACTGAGAAATAATTCATATACATTCTTTTTTTTTTGTTTATGGTCTCATATAAAATACTTGTCAATACATAGATTTCAGGGTTTATTTTTTTTCTCTGTTTCTTCTTTCTTCTTCTTCTCCTTCTCTCAGAGGATACAATCTCCTCTTGCGTTGGTACACATGGTAGACCCCCGCCAAGTTAACCATTTAGAACCTAGACCTATTGAAGAACATTCAGGGCTTCATGATTTTGGCACTCTGTGTAATGTTTTTACGTTACATGTTGCACGTTCGCACCAGTTAACGTTTTTACAATAAAAACGAACGTGCAACATGTAACATTATTACGTTAAAAGCGTGGTGCAAATAATGGCGATAATGGGAAAAGTGAAGCTGTTTTGATGGTAGACGAACGTGGTGCAAATAATGGCAATAATGGGAAAAGAGAAGCTGTTTTGATGGTAGACGGCTATATAAGCCCATTGTTTTGGTCCTCTCACTACTCTCTTTTGCTCACTTACACCATCTAAAATTGAGAGAAAAGTTATCTTGCTAAGTGGGGCATCAAGGTGGTTGGACGTGGGCTCAGCTTTGAGAGAAAAGTTATCTTGCCAAGCAACAAAGACAATGGCTGGAGGTAAGTCAAATTTTTGTTTTGCATGTTTAGAAACATGTCTTGGGTTTATCGTATTTACTTACATTTGGTATCAGAGCCTTGCTTTTGCCTCTGCCTTGCCATGTTATATTGGCTCACACATAAACAAAATTATTACAATTTTGGTGCCTATATATTTTGAATATGGGTTTTTTGATTTTGAATTTTTGGTGCAAAATATCATTAGAAATCGTTTTTGTACTGGGATTTCTATGAATTTTATGATTGATTTCATAGAGAACGGGTCAAAAATGACCCAGCTAAAGGTAGGAGACGACACCAAAAGGTGTGGGTCCATATTTTAGGTGTTGATCGTTTTTTGACTCCCTGATGAGCTAAACTAAAGACATGTTGCTTGCTTTGGCCATTAAAAAAAATTATTAAAGCGTTTGTAGTATGCACCTTGTTTATATGCTAACAACTATATTATGTGCATGTATAATTTTAATTTGTCATTATGCATGCTATTTTTAGTGCATAAATAATTTTAGTTTTGGGCTACAATATGTTGGTAGTTACCTGAAAATAACACCTTTAGTGTTTAATTTTATATATGTGCCCAAATTTTGTGAATATGTATGTATAATTATATTTTATGCATGCAATTTTAGTTTGAGTTATTTCAGCACATAAGCAATTATTTTATGCATGAATTATGTGATTATTCTTGGTAAATGCTTATCACATAAGGAATAATAGTTCTTAGGCATTAAGTAGAGTCTGGAACACTATAAGAAAAATTGTCTAGTGATCAATATAATTTTTGATTAATTGGAGAGTACCCACAACATCTTCAATTAATTAAAAAAATTATATATTAAGCTAATAGCACATAAATTGTGATTAATTATACTTGATATAATAAAATTTATCCCACAGGAAATTTTGTTATATCTATATAATTAATTAGGATAAAATACCAGATTATTTTCAAAATTTACCCACAGGGATTATGAACTGGAATATAGTTTGGTAGTTTTATCATTGAGAATAGAAAATCAAATTATTTCATAAAGTACTCGAAAAGTAAATAATTTGACATTTCTATTGTAAAGACATATTGATCTATTTGAATAAAAATTTAGCCCACAGGCAATTTTTATGTCATTAGATTTAATTTTGTGCATGTTTTACATTGGTAACACATGCAACTAAGTTTTGAAAGCCTTAAATTCTGATATAAGCATTTGGACCTTTTACAGTATCTCAACGCATCTTGACATTCCTGAACTTCGGGGTGACAACTATAAGATATGGAAGGAAAGAATACTCCTTCATTTAGGGTGGACGGACATGGATTATGCTATAAGGAAAGACGAACCACCAGCTGTAACTGAACAAAGTACTCCTGCTGAAATTGCGCTATATGAGCGATGGGAGAGATCCAATCGGCTCAGCGTAGTGTTCATCAAGACAAAAATTACTACTGGTATTTGTGGTTCTGTTGAACAGTATGACAAAGTCCACGACTTGCTGAAAGCCATTGATGATCAATTCGTCACTTCAGAGATGGCCTTGGCAAGCACCTTGATCATGAAATTCTCTTCTCTCCGTCTCACGACTGTTAGGGGTGTGCATGAGCACATTATGCAAATGCGGGACATAGTGGCTCAACTGAACACCCTTCCACAATAGTACGGGCCTTTTAAGATCTCTTATAACACACATAAGCATATCCTATCTGGACTCTCTGAGTGGATAGGGTAAGACCCTATCCTATCTGTTGATCCAATCCCAGATCCGCTCCTCTCTTTAATTAGTCCAACWAAACCAGTTCGAAATGGGCTTTAGGCCTAATAAGTCTGTGTGCTCATTAACCTTCCAAACTGCTGCCCAAATGGGCTTCCTTGTATGGTGTGGGACCCAAATAT